TTGTTGTTAAGTTAATATGGTTCTTCACAAAGTAAGATTGTTGGTGGTCTTGTAGCAATGATTCCTGTTTTGAAGAAATATATTATTCGATAAAGTTCATCTTTTAATTGATCGCTGGGAAAGTAGTGTTAACTGTATAAAAATCTAAGGTTTTTACATTTCCAATTTGTGATCTTCGAGTAAGAAGCCAAATCTAATTGACTGCTCTGGTTGGGTTGATAATACATCATCACAATATTTTAAATCGCCATTTTAACTGAAAGAAGAATTGTACTAAAACATTTTAGAGAAAAATTTCTACACAAAACGGTGTATAAATATTTACTGATTAAGAGGTTGTGAAGTTTTGGTATCAAGTATAAAGAAGAGATATTTTCATCAACAATGGTTTGTTAATACCACAAGGAGTGGAGGTCGGATTTGTGAATATGAAGTTGTTTAAATGGGGTTCATATATTTGCTGTGTTTCACTTTTGTTAGGCGATCCAAATTAATGATTTGTGCATATAAAAAAAAATATTTCGAGGATTTGTCTTCTGAAACAACAACATATTTGACGGTAAAGAGGATAAAGTATCTACAACCTCTGATTCTTGAAAGGATGAGAAACCTGTGTGTTCAAGATACATCGCACATTTCGAATGCACAGATACGATTATCTAGTTTTAGAATATGACTGGCGATGCTTTGGTCGCAACCATTCTGATATAAATAATAGGTTCAATGTGACTGACATAATCAAGATGCTTGAATTATGATATTGACGGCAATGATAATGACGTATGGGGACGAGATTTTTAACAGAAAATATGCATTATTGAGGGCACCAACTCTTCCTGACTTCAGGTTGACTTGATTCATTCTTTCTTCTAATGACGAAAACTAAAATTGTGAATTTTCAATTTCTGCGGAACATTATTCAAACAGCACCTGCATGTGGAGTAATTATCCAAGTGATGCATTATATTCTGATCACCACTGAATTGGGTTGCTGTTTACAAGAATGCTTTTTAAACCTGTTAAACAAGAGTTACAAATGGTAAATTTGAATGTATTCCTTTGAAAGTTTTACGGGTGCCATCATGATTTGATTGGCCATTATGGAATATATCTGTTACAGATCACTACATTTACGTTTTACGTGTCGACGTTTCGATGTTACAATAATTATAAGGACATCGTTTTCTCGATTGTACATTACCAAGTACAACTTATCACCGAATTACTTCCAATGATTAACAGCATAATTGCAACTACAAAAACAAAAACGGCATTCAGGAACGTTTTAGTCCAGTCCTTGTTTTGTTTTAAATAGAGTCTGGATGTTATCGGTTTAATTTTCTGCGTTGTATATTTTTCTTATTTTATTTTCAAATTACTGTGTTGTTATATTTTCTATTTTTAGTTCTCGAAAATTACATTTCACTTCAAACTTTCATATGCAGTAAATTTTTGGGGATTAGGAAATTAACATGACCGATTGTTTAAGAATTTTTGTTTTTGTGGTTCGTGTTGCTCAATCTTTATTTTTTCATGTAATGTCTTGTGAATGAATGAACTAATTGTTTATTCTCAAAAACTATAGTTAAGTTACTGAGAAAATGTATGATATAATACAAATATAAAAATAAGAAGATGTGGTATGATTTCCAGTGAGACAACTTAACGTTAACTTTCAACCAAATGACGCAGAAGTTAGTAGCTATAGGTCACCGTACAACCTTCAACAATTAACGAAATCCTAACCGAATAGTTAGCTATAAAAGATCCCGACATGACAGATGTAAATCAATTCAAACGAGAAACAAACGTCCAAATCTACAATGATCTATATACAAAACGAATAATAACTTAAATATACAACAACAAAGGACCACCACTGAATTATCGGCACCGGAATAGGAACAGGCAAAAACAGAATGTGGCTGGGGTTAAACTTGTTTGCGGATACCCAACTTTCCCTTAACTTGTGACAGTGGTGTAACAGAACAACATAAGAAATAACTATTTAATCAGTTGAAAAGGATTATTTTGTCAGATCCACATAAAACAAGCAAAAAACAACTAATAAAAGGACTTTAGATACAAAGTACAGTTCTGAGAGTACTCGCAGTTACTGAAAGCTGGTTCAAAGCCTATATCAACTAATTAAAAACAAACATGTTTCTAAGACTAACATACCAATCAGAACTCATCCAATGGATTTTGGATACAGACGCCATAAGCAGTTAGAGAGAAACATGATCTTATACAATGACACAATATAGGCAAATGTAGGATCGTAAATGTTCAGAGCAGAATAGCACGTTTGACCGTTTTTTTTTTTTCCCGTCCCTTGGTGTTTTCTTATTAATTGAGTCAACAAAAAGTTAGAATTAATCAAAATAATGAAACATTTTGTAATTGCAAGTACTAAGTTCGACAAACTGTCCATGTGTTTTCCTTTGTTGATGGTTTTGGATATTTTTGGGGACGGAAGGGGCTTAGGGTGTGGTTCGGAGAAGAAGACCGGAGGCGGTTGACATTGTTGTTGTACTGTCCATTTTTCTCTCATAAATCCTGTTATCTGCATAATTCAAAATCTGATTTAGGTAGACGACTTGCGTTTGAAACAACTACACTTACTTTTTTAGTTAAAAAACCATGGAGATCGGTTATATTTTTACATTTTTTATCAGCTTTTTTCGTTTGGAATTATTTTAGATGGTAACACCATAATAATATTGAGAAATGCATTTTTCTACAAAAATACACCGAATCGTTTTACATGTGCGTAACGTGCTTTTCAACGCTTATCATCAAAATGATATTTTGCTAATCAATGAATTAAAGTGTATGTGTCAACAAAACTAGTAATTTACGAAAAATTATACGAATTTGAGGATACAATTTAGAATCAAATGCTTGCATATATATATATATATATATATATATATTTTTGGTCTTTTGGAAAGTGTTGTTTGTGCTGTATTTAGACCCCTCTACCAAGAAATTTGGTTTGCGTGAACACGTATAAATATTGCGGTTTTTATCCAACGCAATCATAGGTTTGAACGTTGTTTTCAATTTAGAATTGTTTATATTTTTCCGTTTGGGCTTGTATTATATTTGACTTTGGGTTTATATGATCCGTTCATCCTTTTTTGACTCTTTCAAAATTCAAGAGTCTATCCTAAATTGAGGTAAATTATATGGCCTTCCAAATACCGTTTCGATTCCTAACATCACTGAAGAGACATTAATTGTCAAAATCCGGATATGGTGTACAAATTTTTGCACCTCATGTTTGCGGTATACCATCTTTTCCGCAAGTTTATTGTTTTCTGTTTGGTAATAATTTAATAAGATCTGTTTTGTTACATCTTGTGATCCGTTTATTTGGCAATCGCCAATGGCAGTCAGCAGGGTTTAAGAACATCAGTTGTTCGACCTGCTAGTCAAATGCGTTTTGTTAAAATATATTTTTTCACTCATTTGGTCTTTTGGAAAGTGTTGTTTGTGCTGTATTTAGACCCCTCTACCAAGAAATTTGGTTTGCGTGCACACGTATAAAAATTGCTGTTTTTATCCAACGCAATCATAGGTTTGAACGTTGTTTTCAATTTAGACTTGTTTATATTTTTTCGTTTGGGCTTATATTATATTTGCCTTCGGGTTTATATGATCCGTTCATCCTATTTTGACTCTTTCAAAATTCAAGAGTCTATCCTAAATTGAGGTAAATTATATGGCCTTCCAAATACCGTTTCGATTCCTAATATCACTGAAGAGACATTAATTGTCGAAATCCGGATATGGTGTACAATTTTTTGCACCTCATGTTAGCGGTATACCATCTTTTCCACAAGTTTATTGTTTTCTGTTTGGTAATAATTTAATAAGATCTGTTTTGTTACATCTTGTGATCCGTTTATTTGGCAATCGCCAATGGCATTCAGCAGGGTTTAAGAACATCAGTTGTTCAACCTGCTAGTCAAATGCGTTTTGTTAAAATATACTTTTTCACTCATTTGGTCTTTTGGAAAGTGTTGTTTGTGCTGTATTTAGACCCCTCTACCAAGAAATTTGGTTTGCGTGCACACGTATAAAAATTGCGGTTTTTATCCAACGCAATCATAGGTTTGAACGTTGTTTTCAATTTAGACTTGTTTATATTTTTTCGTTTGGGCTTGTATTATATTTGCCTTCGGGTTTATATGATCCGTTCATCCTATTTTGACTCTTTCAAAATTCAAGAGTCTATCCTAAATTGAGGTAAATTATATGGCCTTCCAAATACCGTTTCGATTCCTAACATCACTGAAGAGACATAAATTGTCGAAATCCGGATATGGTGTACAAATTTTTGCACCTCATGTTTGCGGTATACCATCTTTTCCGCAAGTTTATTGTTTTCTGTTTGGTAATAATTTAATAAGATCTGTTTTGTTACATCTTGTGATCCGTTTATTTGGCAATCGCCAATGGCAGTCAGCAGGGTTTAAGAACATCAGTTGTTCGACCTGCTAGTCAAATGCGTTTTGTTAAAATATACTTTTCACTCATTTGGTCTTTTGGAAAGTGTTGTTTGTGCTGTATTTAGACCCCTCTACCAAAAAATTTGGTTTGCGTGCACACGTATAAAAATTGCTGTTTTTATCCAACGTAATCATAGGTTTGAACGTTGTTTTCAATTTAGACTTGTATATATATATACATATATATATATATAACATATTCAAGTATGGAGTAACACATTTATTATTTGTTTTATGGATTTTCCACCTTAGATTTCACATTAAGCTGTTCAGAACATATTCAGAATCAAATTTATAATAACATTTAGTTGTACAAGGGTAAAAGCAAGCTATTGTTCGCGCATGTGAAATATTGACATCAATATTATACCAACGTTTGCACTTTTTCACAGAAACAACAATACGTCGGAACCCGTCGCATTCATATGATATTGATGTGGAACCTAATCCTCCAATATTATTTTGTCGAACTCATGATAACAGTGATGTACAAAAAGGACGTATGCCTTCTCCGGTTCCTGATAACACAAGTGATGTTTCTTGTTCTGATGATTCGGGTAATAATAAAGCTTTCTATTTTTCAAAATCAACCATTTCTATTCTATGTAATGTTTTAAATTTGACGTTAAATATAAAGATAATATTGATGAACAGCAAACAAAATCTAGAGTTTAAGCAATCAAACATTAACATGCTGATAGGGCAAAGCTTGAATTTGAGATATAAACATACATGAAGTGTAACGTTTGCTTTTTAGCAAAAGCTCACCTTCAACATCTATCGGTTTCATCTATCGATTTCAGATTATACTGATACAGGACCTACACCCCCATTCCCATATCGTTCACCAGAAGATTACACTAATGTTAAAAGGGCACTTCCAGCTCTTCCATTGCCTAAAGGCTGTGATATAAGTTTTGATAATGATGGATGTGGTAAGTATTTAGCAAGATGATTTGAATATTTGATTTATTTTTATATCATAACCTGCGTAATATGTTGTTTTGATCGTGAGTAGAAACGGTTGAAACGTAGTCTGTAATGTTTTTGACATTCCGTTCTGAGCCAACCAGGGGTATCTGAATATCACATTTTCTGTCAAAACATGGTATCACATCTTTAATGCAACGACAAGCGATTCGAAAAAGCTGCAAAATAAGATACGATCCATATAAACTGATTGGTCCTTTCATTGAACACACTCTTGAACGTTATCAATTTAACGTCTTAGTAAGACTATTTATTATTTTCTTTATCATTACGTACATTGATTTTATTTTTCAATAATTAATTACATAACTTAACATGTATTGGTATTCTGTTCTTAACATTAATGATGCTACATCATGTTAATGATTATAGTTTGGTATTGTACATACTTCCTATGCCTATATTACAATAATGGAGGAGCTAATAAAATAAAAAAAAAGACTAAATGTAGACTCGTACAAGAATCAGAGCTATGCATCAGGGTTCTACTTCCTTTATATGAACTGAATTTAAAATTCTAAAACAGTAAATTTAAGTAAAACAATATTCGTATTTAAATGTCAGTTCTTCGATACTGGCTACTAATCTGGCTATACTAACGGAGATTAACAGTCTTCCAATTATTGCATCGAACAAGTAGTAGAATAATATTAACGATACCTAGATGCGGACTTGGAACCAGCTTTCAATTACTGCGATTACTCTTAGATCAGTATGATTTTGTCCTTGTCTTTTTCGTTAGTCGATTTAAGTACCGATTTGACGAGGCATGCCTTTAACAATTGATTTTTACATTGTGTTCTTTAGCTGTCCTGTAACGCAACTTTTTACGAATATGGAAGGGTTGAGCACTTAGAAATATGTTTTATCTTGCTTTATTATGTATTTGACCAGTCCAAGACAGGAGCCTGCAGTCCAATGATTGTTGTTTGTAGCCAACAGTCATATGTTTTGGTTTTTAACTTAAATCAGGCCTTAAGTTTTCCCTGCGGAACTGTTTAACATTAGGGACATTTAATAGCTGACTATACGGTATATAATTTCTTCTCACTGTTGCAGGTCATTTGAAAACCATTTTGTGTTTATCGGAAGGTACAAAGACCTTAACGATAAATATTCAGTGTGAACTTCGCAAGTAAAACATGACGGTCTCTAAATTATAGATTCCAGTTACTGACGTCGTGAATCAGTTTTTTTTTTACTTCTACAGTTTTTCTTTCATTTATCCTTGATGGGTGTGTACCCGCTTATTTAATTGTTACTTTTGCACTCTATCGGGAGAGTGTGTATATGTCAACTATGTTTTATTATACTATAGAATATGTTATTATGAATTACAAAAACGGTTTTTGTTGCTGTCTTAGTTTTTTTTTAAATATACAGTCCCTGATGATTGTGTGTGTTTGTTTATTTTTTATTTATCTATGTTATATATCTATGAGGCATATTCGCACACTTTCGGCTGCTGAATGCCAAATATTGTCATGTTAACCAATTATGTCTGTTTGGGTTGCTCACACTATGTTTGTTGTAAACAAAAAGAAACTATAGTCAACTGCCATACAAGCAGAGGGTTTAGCTAGCGGCAAAACCAGGTATAACCAAATTTCTTCGGAAAATGCATGTGCAAAGTCAGGAATATGAATGTTGTTTTCCAGTCATTCCGTTGGTTGATATATGGTTGTGTTAGTTTTTATGGATTTCCTTTTTTTAATTTACCTTGGAGTTTTGTTAAAACATTTTTTACATCGTTGTATTTTGGTCTTTTGATTGATAGTTGTCATAATTGCAGATCCTTCAATCAAATTTCATAATAACATTACACAAGGTTCATACAGATTATATTCTATTCCATTTAAAAAAAAACGAATATCAACACTTACTTACGCCATTTGTTGTGTGCCGACATATTTCGTATGTTTATTTAATACTTTCTTCTTTTTTTTTGTATATCTTTTAATGGTATCGATGTACATTCCATGAAAATTGTTTAATTTTACACTGTTCATTAAATCTTAAATTCCAGACTATCCGATATTAGGTTTGATCGTATTAACAGATATTTCAGGCCAAAAAATGGCCTTTGTCAGTGTAAATTTTTTCTCAAAACACAATAATACAGTGCGTATTTATATTTACAGTAAACATTCAATCTGGTTAGACCTTGGCGAGTTTGAAAGAAAAAGAAACATAAATATGGTTACTTAATTGAAATTACATACTTGTAATTGACTATGAATGTAAATAACAGATATGAAAATATTTGTGTTAAAGCTTAATGATTATCGGAGGTTGATATGCAACCTTAACAGCTTATCTTAAAATATGTGGCGTTCGAGCAGATCTTTTTGTGCTGCGTTAAAGATTTATTTCTTTGATATATCATTTAGTCCGTACTTAATGACAAAGGTTCTGGTGAAATCAAAATCCTCTCACTACCTCTATTTGTTTTTATGCCCCACTTACGATAGTTATGTTTTATGGTCTGTGCGTTCGTTCGTTCGTCCGTCCGTTCGTCCGTCCGTACGTCTGTCCCGCTTCAGGTTAAAGTTTTTGGTCAAGTCAGGTTAAAGTTTTTGGTCAAGGTAGTTTTTGCTGAAGTTGAAGTCCAATCAACTTGAAACTTAGTACACATGTTCCCTATGATATGATTTTTCTGATTTTAATGCCAAATTATAGTTTTGATCCCAATTTCACGGTCCACTGAACATAAAAAAAATGATAGTGCGAGTGGGGCATCCGTGTACTATGGCCACATTCTTGTTTCTACTTACTTCAATGCTGTTTCTATTATTTTTGTGAAATTTATTGCTTTGGTGTTCAAGCATTTTTGTAATGTGATATCCCGTTAAGGAGAAGATACGATAATTAGAACTGTATTCAAAGCGGGACTAGAAAATGGTGGATTAAATCTGGTTTTATAGCTAACTTAACCTCTCACTTGTATGACAGTCGCATAAAATTCCATTATATTGACAACAATGTGTAAGCAAAACAAACAGACATAATAGGTAAAAATGTCAAAAATTGGGCTACAGCAGTCAACATTGTGTTATAAAAACAAACAACTATGTCATTAAAGAAAAACAAAATGGCATGTAGACACTCTATAGACAAAGCACTTAAGCAAAAATGACAGACAAGAATACAAAAACTGACCATAGCACAATAACACAAAGACTTACAAAAAGACAGAATGACGGACAGATAGACAGAAGATGAACAATGTGTTTCATATAAACCCCAAGCCTTTGTTTGCCGGGGCATAAAAAACATTTTAAGTTCACTGAATTTGAAAATATAGTCAATTGCAAACAATCCAAATTATGCTAATTTTCTTGAAAGATGAATAGTATTAAAGTATTAACAACAATACCGAACCCAAAGGTAAATTCGAAAAGAGGGAAGTCCATAAAAACTGACAAAATCAAACGTTAGACTATATTAACTAACGGAAATGGAAAACAACTGTCATCATTCCTGACTTGGTTTAGGCATTTTCCGAAGAAGATGGTGAGTTAAACCTGTTTCTATAACTAGCTAAGCCTCCCACATTTATGACAGCAGAACATTTATAGTACATTTCGGTATTCTAATTTAAGAAATCAGGTTCTATCAGACCTACGAGATTAAGGCCATTCTGTTTACATGAAACTTAATGGTATAATTATATAAGGTAATTTCAAATGATACAAAGAAATGGAGAAAACAAAAGATGGGCACTGAATGTTAAAACTTTTAGTTTCAACAAATTTCTAGTATGACTTTAAGATATAAAAAAAAACATGTATATTTTATTTTAGTGCAATTTGACTTTATGTGATGTTTTAAAAAGAAAATATAACAAGAGAGTGAGTTGTCTCTTTAAAGCGAAATCATTTTTCAAGTGTCTGTTTCTGTTTTTGGTAACCATTTTGAATGTGCTTTGAAATCAAAACTGTTATATTTTTATTAACTATGTAGTGTCCTTTGTTGTGTTTTGGCTATAATTTTGATAGAATATAAAAATAAGGAGATTTGGTATGATTGTGAATGAGACAACTATCCACCAAAGTTCAAATTAAGTAGATATAAGCAATTGTAGGCAATCGTACGGCCTTAAAAATGATAAAAATCCATACCTCATAGTCGGCTTTAAAAAGGCCCCGACATGAAAGACCCGAAACAATTCAAATAAGAAAACTAACGGGCTTATTTACAACAAAACAATTTACGAATAACAGATATGACAGACATGAACCAACGAAAACCACTGAACAACAGGCTCCTGACTTTGGACAAGCACATAAAGAATGTAGTGGGATTAAACAGGTTTGAAGACGCCAACCATCCCCGAACCTGGGACAGTGATGTAACAGTACAACATAAAAAAAAACTATATTTTTGAGTATCCCATTGGATGTAGCATTTTCCTCAACCGCATGTCTCTATATTTTGATACAAATTCTATAGCACATTCATATATAAAATACATCAAGTCTGTATCCTTATTATTAAATAGTAATTCGTCAAGTTCATGATCATCTTAAAATAAGTGGAGCATGTTCATTAGCAGCAGATAACGAAGGATACGACCCCGAAGAAGAAATTGGTAAGCTAATCATATACTTTGAAAGAAATTCTTAATACTTTTAAAAAACATTTTCCAGTTAGATAATGGTAAATGTGAGCCAGTATAGCGTACAAAATTATAAGCCTGGTATTTTTGATGAGTTTTTACCGATGTTTAAATCTAATTAACCCATTATGCAGATAAAAATCAAGCTAAACAAAAACTGTAATTATAAAGTGTTTTTTTTTTTTGTTCTTCATTTAATTGATTATTTAACTTTGGTATTCGATATTCAGTTTTTACAGTCTCTCATACTTTTGTTTTCGAGTTTATACACCCCATAGAAAAATGACTTGGTTTTTGTAGTCTATCAATCTGTATCAATTAATTCAAATGTTTTAAGATATCGCATTGAACCTGCAAGAATAGTATATGAAGACACTGGATTTGTTGAATCCCATATTTTGACTGGGGATTTAATAAAATCTTTGAACTAATTGAGAACTTTTTTTATAGATTCTATGGTTTAACATGTTTAATTAAGGCGACATTAGATTCCCGATGTTAAAATCTTGTAAATCGTTAATGAAAAAACAAATTAAGATAACAAAATCTCAAAATGTCACAATCAAAATAGGACATAATTGGTAATTATATCAAAACAGATAAACAATTATACTGGTATCTAAAGATCTAAGATCTCGAAAATATGTCGCTAGTGAGTTAAGACACCGACAAATGGTATCGGTCAACCAATTCGTGAAGAAGTCTGTAAAACTTAATAGTGTCTATTTCAGTCGTTCTTCTTGATAACTCTTTTGGAGCAGTTTTTGAATAAGGTTCACAACCCTGTTATTGAAGTCTATGTAGTGTGAAAATGCAGGGGCGTAAATTATTTACTGAGATATTTAAACGCAATACGATGGAGCCGACGGGATAAAAACAAATAAGACAACAAAACTCAACGTAAATAATTAATCAAGAATTACCAATACGAACCCCACCTGCTCCGCTAGTTGCACCCGTTATGCTGATCATGGTTCTTACATATTTGTTGGAAAGTCGCATACAAATGATGATATCAATAGCATCAACAATGCTCGAGAAAAACATTTTGTTCATTGAATACAAATCCTGTTACTTCATCCTCCATATCGCTTGCTTCATTTCTTTAGTCCTTGCCTGTTCGTATCACTACTACTTTCCTTCTGAAGCTACTACTGAACATGGCAATTAAAGTATTTATGTTATGATTTGTGTCCTAGTTCATAGATTTTCCCCCAAATTGTTTCACTAGATATGTTAAAGCCCGTTTGAAGTTTTCCTTAATTCCATGGATAACAAATCTATTCTGAGACTGGTTTTCTGCATTTCCAAGAAATTTCAAACACAAGAGAAAATTAAACTGTAATTAAAATAGAATAAACTGTTTAGACGCTACTGTAGTGTAAATTGTGTTTTACACAAATTTTAATATCAAAGCACAGACAACATTACTGATTTTAAATAGGCAAATTTCGCGGTTAAAGATGTGACCTGTTTTGGCAAGATCATAATTGAGACACGTTTTAGCTAGGAAAATAATCGGCCATATTTAGGGGAAATAAAATTGGACATGGTTGGGCGATATATCATTTAGATGATACGTTTGAGCGAAATCGAAAGCTTCAGCGAGGTGGACACATTTTTGGTGATTGACACATTTGAGAGTGTTACATCTGGATGACGACAATACTTGAAGCGGGATTTAATAATTTAGTATTCACCGTATGGAATGGTAATGCTGTCAATTCGAGTGACACTGATACACACGAGAATGGCAGAAAACTTTAAAAAAATATACATATTTTGACACAGATTGACATACAAGTTAATACGATTCTTAAATTTGATGACAATTTTTGAACAACTGAGTGATTAGTAAGTACGAAATATTGCCCATTATCAAGTTCTTATGATTGTATATATTACCTTTTTTTGTTATGCTATAATGTAACTAATGGACACTGCCTTTCTATGTACGGTGCAAAATTTAAGGAGAATGATTGTTTCGAATTTGGTGAGTTTTTATGCTAAGACACTTCTTAATATATGAATATAGGCACTAAATCCTCAGTCAAAGAACACAGCCCAATGAGCTCTGGTCCTTACGCATGTTACAGTTGTAATGCAAATGAAGGTGCGTATGAAATTTAGTCATTTTGATTATGTTTTTTTTTCTCTGGTACATGTATGATAATGTCTGATGTTTTGTTTGAATCTTTCGTTTGACAGAAAAGGTAGAAGTAAATGAATTTAGGACTTCAGCGGTTAGTTTGAACTTGCAACTTTCAAGTCACGTTTCTTTTTTCACTATTTTTTCATGGATGTCTGTAGCGCTACATTTAGCATTACTGGGACAATTTAACACTAATCAAGATAAAACGATGCGATATGTTTGCCAAAGAGACCACTATCCACCTAAACAAATGGTGAGGACAAACAGTTATTTCTTTTTAATTATTCACACGTTAGTATTTACATATTTGAATAACTAATTCTGTTTTTTTTTGGAAATGACTGTGATAAATCTGTTCAGTACTGCACATGACAAATATTTGCTAAAGAGCCGTGTCTTTAAAAACGTTATATATATATCTTTAAACATTATAATCGTCTATTGACTGAATTGCGAATGTTAGAAATAAAGGCGATAGTAGTTAACCGATGTTCAAATCTCGTTAATCGACTCGGAAGACGCAATCAAGATTACAAACAAAATCTTAGGGAATCGCATGAACTTCAAAAGGAGTGAGACTGGGTGGGTCGACAAGGAAAGCGTCTCCTGCTATACATGCATCACTCTCTTTGCGAATTCACACTAAAAACTATCGGCAACAGCTTAGCATCTGTTGGGGTTTTTTTTTTTTTGTCATTATGTCATTCAGTTGTAATGTTTCCGTGTAGTTTCCTTTCTTTCTCGTTGACGATCGAGTTGTTGTACTTTTTGATTCAATTGCCCTTTGATATGTTCTTCATTTTAAACTTATATAAGCGTATTTGACGAAGATTTATGAAATATGCCTAGTTGATAATTTCCGGAGATATAAATGAATTGGGTTATTTTTTATCTTTCAAGACCTTACAATGGTGAAAATGTATTAAAACTAAGGTTGAAACTCCCTGATGAGTTATGATTAGAGTGTCACTGATGAGTCTTATTTTAATTTAGACAAAACATGTAACTTATGTGTTTATGCGCTTTTTTTATATTTCATTGTTTTAGCTTCAGCAAGTATCCAGCTTCCAACCGAAATCCGACTGGAAAAACAATACTACGACCATTACAGTGCTCAGACCAATGCAATGGATTCATGGAAGGAACCGATTATGCCTGACAAAACACTTGATGCGTAAGTTAGCTAAACGAACAGTGTTATTAATTTCTTCTTTGAAAACAGTTTGATCTTGTCTTGTTATTTCCAACTGATTTTTATAGATTGTCCTTATATTCTCCTGCTTTTATCAATTTAAAAAAAGAAGAAAAAAATGCCAAAAGGGCAATTGTATAAAAACGATATCCTAGTGAGTAAAGGATAAAGCGTTCACAACATGTTTAACCCGGCCATATTTATTTATGTGCCTTTCCTAAGTAAGGAGCCTGTAATATAGTGGTTGTCTTGTGTAGCTGTCTGTAAGATTTGTTTTTTTTTTTTCGTTTATTTGTTTGTCCTAAATCAGGCTGTTGGTTTTTCGATTGAATTGTTTTACATTTTGTCAAGAGACATGTATCAATCAACCATTTTAAGAGGATTGACGGTCCAGACCTGCCAACTATCCCGATTTTGGCGGTATTATCCCGATTTTCATGCCTCAACCCGAATCCCGATATCGGGTTCCTAAAACAAGCAAAAAAACCCGATTTTCATAAATTCTACCCGAGAAAATTTTATTCTTACCGATTTCCGGTAATGGAGGACAACATAGAGATATTATCCAATCAAATTCATCGTAGTATCTGATATTCGGGTCATGTTGATTTACCTGAGGATTATCGATCTGTTTTGACACTTAAGTATTATGTAAACATATACACGTGCCTCAATAAAATCAATGATTTGTCAAAGTTTTATGGGTCTTAATTGGTAATAAAATTATTGATCTTTGTTATTTATACCGATCAGCTTGGGAGTTACATAATTAACTGTTTTAATTTTTTTACTTATCATTTAATTGAGATTAATTATATTATAATCAAGTTAACTAGTTAAAAAAATTCTTTAATCAGGTGAACATAGTTAATAATTATCTTAATTATAACTGATCAAAGGAATTTTGCAAATTAAACGTAAAGGCTTGGATGTTGTTTGCACATTGAGACAATTGTTATAAAAGGATATGAAAAATGGAATTGAATCATAACAGTTCAAACTATCACAATGGTTGTTACTCCACCCAGCAAGAAGAAACGTTTGCCATGCCGTTTTCTTGAAAAATGGCAGAATGACCTGAAGTTTTCAGGATGGTTGACCAAGTCCAACATAGTTTGCAATGTATGCATTAATGAAGCAACCAAGTCATTGAGTATCAATTTATTTTAAATAGATACAGTGAAAATACAAATAAAACACTGAAATAAAACAAATATAACACTGAAATAAAACAAATAAAACAAATGAACCAAATGAAAGAAACATCTTTACACAGAATGATACATACAGCATCAAAACAATCTCAAGAGTTCAAGAAACAAACCAAAATTGATCCTAAATATACATGAAATACTTTCTACTGGACATTATAAAAAAAAAAACAGTCACAAGATGGAGCGATACATTTAAATTTTATCCCCGGGGAAAATCCCCCATGGAGGTTTTCAAAAGTTGGCAGGTCTGTTGACCCATGCATGTGACTTATCCAGCTATTCATAACAAAATGAACCAGTTGAGCAGGAACTTCTTACTCTTCCAGAGCAACTACATTGACCTCCAAATTATTGGACGATTTGTGTTGTTCAATCTTAATTTGTTTTATTATTGTTTTTTTGTTTGTTTTTTTTTTGTTTGCCTTTTCGTCGTTGTTTTGGGCATGGTGT